TAATCATGCTACAGCTTAATCATGCTAAATATTCATTTGAAGCGCAACTCAAATGAATGATGGGTTTCACTTAGAGGTTTACAAACGTAGATAGGTAATAATGTACAAAGTAGCTGTTTACAGATATTGTATTACACAATATTTATTACAATATAATATATAATATTGTAATAACAATAATAATGATAAAGTGAATAAAATAATAGTTTAATTATGATGATAACAATAAAAATAATGATATAAATATAATAAAAAATCATAATAAAAATGGCATACATACGGTGCGCATAAATTTTACTAGAAGGGGATCATTCATTTGGCGTACAGCCCCGTTTTGCCTCATATAGTCTGTACTTGTATTCTACTGCTTGCCCTGGCTAGTTGAAATCGACCAGGTACATGAAAATGAAATAAACTGGAATGTACCGTAAGTGGCAGGCGATAATATTAATATAATAAAGACATCTTTTTTATTTTAGTTTTTATTGTTAACAAACTCTTTCGAAACACAAGTATACAAGCTTGATATAGATCAAAATTAAAATCGAAAGTCGTCTTCAATATACTGATTTAATCGCCTACCACCGTAGTAAAACTATTAATGATAATAATGATCATTTAGATTATAGCAAAATGATGATGATGATTTCGATAATAGAAATAATACAAGTTTAGATTTAGATTTTAGATTTTTTAAATGAAATTTGAGAAAGAACAAAATAATATAATTCTTTAGTAATTTAACACCCATTAAATTTCTGAAAAAAAAGATGTATTTCTACAAATTCTCTGAAATAATTACACAACATTCCAATGACATATTGAAGAAAAATGTCTTATATTTTGTTCATGACTTTTAATTGTTTTTTTTAACCTATATTTGTACAGCTTTATATATCATTTACATTTAAATTTTGTTTTTGTTTTCAATATGTTATAAGCTTTTTTATTATAAATTTTTTTGATATGTTCTCCTATTTATAGATATTTAGCCAATTGATGATGTTGTTGTATTGCAACAAATATATAATGGCAATAAAATATATAATGTTTTAAACCTAGAGTGATAGTTGGGTTAGAGAGAGTATAATCATGAAATCTTTGAAGAAAAATACAAATCGATTCGTTAAACATGACATGAAGATAATAAACAGACCCACAAGACAATGACATTGATATAATTTATTTCCAAATGCGTCAACTTCAAGTGGTAAGATGGACAATAAAAATAAAGAAAGTTGTGTCTAAGAAAACCATAAATACTGGACAAAAGAGAAGACACTACAGACACACTGTGATCCAAGGGATGCAACTGTAAAAGCTCTCACACCAATTTCTTCTTTAAAATTTAAGTTGAAAAAAAGAGCGCTTTAGTTTTAAGTTAACTGCGGCGGCAAAAAAGGGTAGGGGAGTTAGTGATGTAAAATCAAAGACAAAGCGTTGTGACACCTTTAAGTTGGCCTAGTTTAAAAAGATTACGCAATTTGTTCATGATTATCTGGATCTATCAGACACATGTATGCATGAATCAGTAAAGATGAAAAGAAGCCACCCTGTTATTATGTTTTGATGTTTAATCTATTTTATCAAGACAACGAAAATAAATTTAAAAAAATGTAATTCTTTTATTGTTTTTATGTATATACATATAAATATTTCCTTAATCTCCGTCAACCTAACCTGGAATCACAATATATGTTGGGTTTTTTATAGAAGAAGGTTCGAGGATTCGAGATGGGTTTAAGAAAATCGGATTGAGGCAGTGGAGGGGAGGAAGGCCAGCCACAGCAATTTCTAGTCCGAGCCACATTCTCCTCATTTTCTCGTCCGAACCACCTCTAAATTTTAGTCCTTAGAATATTATTCATTAAAAGTGTCTAGTCCTCCAAGATAAAACAATTTTTTAAGAATCGGGCTACATTAGGGCATAACTGAAATATTGAATTTTAGTAAATCGAAAAAAATAGTTTCAATTTTAATTCAAGTTTTTGAGTTCAATGTCCTTAAAAATGTTACCTTTTTTACGCGCATTTTCCGATATTTCTAGGGTGTAGAATGCCACAAATAATTCCAAGATTATAGATTTTTAATCTTTTTTCTTGATCATAGTGAAAACCATAGATTTTTTCCAAGTGGTTCAATAGGGAAAATGATAGGCATATGTATGCCGGATATTTTGCTATTTATTTCATATCGCAAAGGAGTCAGAAGAGTTTTAAGTTTTACCTAAATAAAGTTTAACCTCATTCTCCTGTCTCTAAAGAAATAAATAGTTTTATCTTCAAGAATTAGAAACTTTTCAACACATAATAAACGAAGGACGAGGATTTTGAGGTGGTTCGGACGAGAAAATGAGGAGAATGTGGCTCGGACGAGAAGTTGTTGTGGCTGGCCATCCTCCCCTCGGCAGTGTAACATTTCATTTTATTGATTTTCCAAATCCCAATCCTGGATCCGCAGGAAGAATTTTCAAATTATTTTTCTTCTATATTCACTTATTTTATTTGCTAAAACTTGATAGCCCTGAGACTCAATAGACAGGAGACAGGAGAAAGCAAAGCAGACAGCAAACGGTAGACAGTAGACAGTAGACAGCAGACAGAAGACAGCAGGCTGTAGACAGTAGACAGTAGACTGTAGACATGTAGACAGAAGAAAATAGAAAGAAGACATTAGAGATTAGATAGCATATCTTAGTATAAGTAGACAGAAGACAGTGGACAATAGACAGTAGACATAAACAGTGTAAGCAGAAATCATACAGTGACACTGACAGTTTACCTTAAACAGTAGACAGTAGACAGAAGTAGACAGCAGACAAAAGACAGAAGGCAGTGAACATTATACTATTTTGGAAAAGGCAAATGCCACATAAACTCGCAATATACAAAATATGTTGATTTGAGTCAACGAAAAGACTCAACACGTAAAAGTACATCTGTACTTAAATATTCAAAAATTGTTTGGGTTCACAGTGGCCGGTGAGAGTACATCTTTACTTAAATATTCAAAAATTGTTTGGGTTCACAGTGGCCGGTGAGAGTACACTTGTCAATAAACGTACTCAAAGACCCCAATCTGCGACAGGGCAGTTCTGTTCTGCCCCCAGAGCAGGTAAGTGTCAAACTGTGGAATTGTGTTCTTGATTAGTCTTGTATTAGTTACAAACATTTTCTATATTATGAATTTAACCTTGATTTTGTAAGTGCATACTTAGATTATCAGCTAGAGAGAGAAAGAGATAAGGAAATTTAGATTTTGCCAGTCAGACGTGTTCTATGCGTAAACAGAAAGGTCTTATAGACCTAACTTAGCAATTGATTTTTAAAATTATTTTATGTTGTATACATTGAGAGCCAGAAAAAATGAATTTAAAATAGTCCTGTGAACATGAGACATAGCAATTGTGCAGTGGAGACAGACCCATTTAAATTAATGAGTGATTTATTAAGAGAAACTATTTGCTTTGTAACAACTCGTTTTCCTATTCCAATTTTCTGGTTGTTACTGTACATAAACAGTTCAGGGGATTTCTTCCCCTTGTTTCACGTCTTTTGTGTTTTGTATATTCATTTTGTATAAAGTGTGATTCATCATGTGTTTTAAAACCAAAAATTATAGGGAACGTTCACTTAATTGGGTAATTTCAGGGTAAACTAAACAGCCTATTCTCTGGCATTAGTCTTACTTTTCAAAGACAACTGTGGCCGGAGAAAAAACCGAAATTACCCAAATAATTGAACGATCCCTTTAAGGACAAGAAGTTGCCTGCACTCTCTTCTTGCGCTCCTATTTTTTTCAGGGGGATGGGAGGACGTCCCCCCAGTTTTCCAGGGAGGGGAAGATTCCTCCCCCCCTCCCTCCTCTATAAGCCGCCTCTGATCAAGTGTGTTATCATACTTTATTCATTTTGTATTATTTTTTATTATGTTTTAACATTTTAAATCAAGTGTTTTATTTGTATATTATATACTTTAGGAACCAAGTGGTTTTTTACATCTTGATTTGAATGTTTTATTTTTTTTTAACATTGTTTAGACGATTGTACGGTTTATAACGTCTGTTTCCTTAATGCCCTGGTGCTAGAGGGGGGGGGGGGTGCAGAACTAAACAAACGCCACCTAAACGTGTTTTGCGGCATGCACGCTCCTCAATTGATAATCAGAAATAAAAAAGTTAACATTTAACCGTGTATTTAGACCATATTGACCTCTGTTCATGGCCCTATGGCGTACAATATTGTTAAAGCTTTATTTTTTGCTCCTCAGTTTCGAAAATAAATCTATAAGTAATAAGTATGCCACATGAAGCACTAGAAAATAAATTACGAATCTTAGATCCAATTCACTGATTTAATGACTGCATTTTATGATTGGAGTTAAGATACTAAAAGGTCGGGCTGCCTGTTTACTAAAAATTATCTCACCTCACCAAAAGTAATATCTAACTCCATTTAAAAGACATTTCCAAAAAACCTTAACAGTGTTAAGTTTTTGTATTCGCCTACTCGAGTTCAACATCTACAACAAAACTAATTACATGCATAGAAAGAACAAAAAATTTATAAAAATTGGTCTTAAATCGCCCACTAGTGAAAATATGTATCAAGTTCACTAATTATTTCTAGCGCTTCATTGCTAATCGAGGTTCAAAAACGTAATTTTATTTTTAGCTCTTTATGTGGCATATTTATAGAGCGTTTTTTACTTCTGCACTCCCCCCCCCTTGTGCTGCCCCTAAACCATAGAATATATATTATAGAAGTAATAAATAAAATTTATGAAAGAAACTATTTAATTTCAACTATTAAACTATTATTTTTTCAAAAATTCTATTCTAAAGGATATGGGTAGCGCCAGGTCATTTTAAACACTCATCTGCGAATCCAGAGGCTTGTAGACCATTTTGCGGGGCTCATGGTGGCCCGGTACCTCCTCCCTACCTCTGCTCCTTTTCGTGGCATCTTTATTTTTAACAATCTGATGTTTTTCAGGTGAAAACAACTGAACACTGAACAATGGCCGAGAATAATGATGTTGTTTTTTCTTTAATCTCCGCAGGAAATATTCAAAAAACAAAAATACATCATTTATTTTAAATTAGAGCTTTTTAAAGGGACTGTAAGCGTAATTTCAAGTGACCTTCCATTTATATTAAGTCATGTACGACTCACATCGGTACCCTTTAAACCTTTGTCCCACTCTGGGCCATAGTAAATTTGAATTCGAACAGGACCTGCCAGATAACAGAGTGTTCTGACCTGATCCTATGGTAGCCCGGTTCCATCTATTGTACAGTACGTCGCCCTTACCAGACTAACATACGACAGGGGTCAATTTTCTTTGCATAGTTCCGTCGGAGGGCTAACTATGGCGCGTTCAGACTTTTTACAGTACCCGGCCTAATCCTAGGCCTTTTTTGACCGATCCCACTGGCTTAGTCCACCATGGTCCAGACACTGTACTCCGTGTACTTTCTGTGCTAATTTACACTCGCGCTTTTTCTTGGCACTTAATTTCCATTTTTATAAATAAGAATATCAACCAAATTTTTTATCAAGCAACGGTTATCGGGAATCGGGTATCGTTGTAAATCGGACATGCCATTCTAAAAGTAGAAGGTCATATGAATTTACACTTACATTCCCTTTAAGAGACGGAATTTAAACTAATCAAACTAAGATAAATCCAAATAAACGTTTTTCCCATTTTGTCAAATGCCAAAAAAATATGATTTATGGCCATTTTAAGTCACAAAATCATTTATTTTAACGTACTTTACCCACAAGCCCCCTTTAAAAACTATTAAAACAAAAAATTTTAAATGTTTATTTTTAATAAATAATAATTTTTTTTGTTATTCTTGAATATTTTTTAATATTTTGTAGGAGCTGCATTTCCTTTGCTTTACTGGCAGGGATGCACTTATTCTGCACTTTTTATCTTCTTCATTTTCATGTATTTTCTCAGGTATTATCATATAATGTACTATTAGGAATAATTGTATTTACAACATCGTCTTCGCTCATGGCTATCTTTTACTCTGGGAAAATATATTTAAGAGTTAAAATAGTAAAAATTAAATATTGTTTAAAACTTTTTTTGATATTTTTTTGCATAAAAATAATTCTGAAAAAAATTTGTTTTGGAAAGTTTGGTACAATTAATCATATCAATAAAAGTGCTTAATCTAGAAATATAGTAAACTTGCTGGAGTGCGCGGCAGAGGTTTATTATATAGAAATGAGAAAATACAAAAGAAAGTGAGAGACGAAAAAAAGGTTAAAACACTGTGTTGTTGTAAAATATGAGCACAGATGTAAAGTACATGACATAATGTACAGTTGTGCAGTTTTTGACAGATTTAAATAAAAGCACAACATTTTTTGTTCAGTGCATTGTTTTTTTAGTAAACTGCGTGGTGTAGAAAAGATTGTGGCCCCACCTGATTTTAAAGTCCTGATAATCGGGTCTGGTGTGTCTGGAATATGTATGGGGAAGAAACTGAACGATGTTGGAATCAAGTATACGATATTAGAGAAATCAGCAAATCTAGGAAATCAGAACACTTCAACATGTTTTTTGTTGCTTGATAATACTTTATCTATATTTATAAAGTAGTAATCTCTGTGTTTTTGTATGCCCGATCATAGCTCATGAATCCCTTGACCAATTTATCTCAAATTTTTATTGCGGAACGTGGGAGAACCACAGGATTGTTTCTAGCTAGTGGGTTGACTTTGATAAATAGCTAAAATCGTAATTTAAGACCAAGAGCGAGTAAACGGCGGGAATAACTATAGGTAATCCGGGCAACGCTGGGTTACTCTTATTTATATTGATATTCTAATAGCTGATTTGCCGGGCGTTGCCCGTGGAATTAAAAATTAATTTTTGAAAAGGGAAATGTCAAAATTTTTCAAAGCCTATGTTACTTCTCGGGCCCTCTTAGGTTTCCTCAAAAATTGTCAGCCAATTTGATCCAGCCGTTTGGTCACCTATTGCTAACCTATACATATACAAATATATTTACATGAGCGAAGAGCTTTATTATATTCTATATATCATATTCTGTATTATAATACTTTATTATAAAAAAAAAGTTTTATTTTACTACCAAGCGAACAAAAACTCGAGTTTAAATGGACTGTAGATTTTTTTTTTACAAATTATTATTTTGAATTTATAATTTTATAAATTGGATACAGTTGCTACAGAAAAATTCTGATTTGTTTCATCTTCTTGTCATAGTTTCTATCTTCTTCCTTTTTTTCCTTCTGTTGTCTGATAATTCTGATAATTTTGAAAAAATGAAAATTTAATGAAACCAGTATTTTTTGAGACACTCTGCTCATTGTAATTATTTGAGTATATTCTGTTTTTCAGTATTGGTGTATCTTCAGTTTTCTTGTTGACGAAAAATTAATGCGTTAACCCGTCTTAGCTTGCAGGACTGTAGATTTAATTTCAAATGATCCTTTATTTGTGAAGTGGTTTGCCCTCTTTTTTTTTTGGAGTGGTTTGCCCTCTATTTTTGGAGTGGTTTGCCCTCTATTTGTGGAGTGGTTTGCCCTCTATTTGTGTAGTGGTTTGCTTTCTATTTGTGGAGCGGTTTGCCCTCTATTTGTGGAGTGGTTTGCTCTCTATTTGTGTAGTGGTTAGCCCCCTATTTGAGGAGTGGTTTGCCCTCTATTTGTGGAGTGGTTTGCCCTCTATTTGTGGAGTGGTTTGCTCTCTATTTTTGGAGTGGTTTTCTCTCTATTTGTGGAGTGGTTTGCTTTCTATTTGTGGAGTGGTGTGCCCTCTATTTGTGGAGTGGTTTTCTCTCTATTTGTGGAGTGGTTAGCCCTCTATTTGTGGAGTGGTTTGCCCTCTATTTGTGGAGCGGTTTGCTCTCTATTTGTGGAGTGGTTTGCTCTCTATTTGTGGAGTGGTTTGCCCTCTATTTGTAGAGTGGATTGCCCTCTATTTGTGGAGTGGTTTTCCCTCTATTCGTGGAGTGGTTTGCACTCTATTCGTGGAGTGGTTTGCCCTCTATTCGTGGAGTGGTTTGCGCTCTATTTGTGGAGTGGTTTGCCCTCTATTTGTGGAGTGGTTTGCCCTCTATTTGTGGAGTGGTTTGCTCTCTATTTGTGGAGTGGTTTGCCCTCTATTTGTAGAGTGGTTTGCCCTCTATTTGTAGAGTGGATTGCCCTCTATTTGCGGAGTGGTTTGCCCTCTATTTGTGGAGTGGTTTGCCCGAATAACATCTTTATATTTGTATCCGAACAAAGCTTGATGAAATGTTTTATTCAAGCGTGGTTTTTCTGTAAGAGTCACTTGCGGAGAAAAGGTTCGGAGAAAATAAAGTAGATTGTCAGAATTAACACTTTATAAAAAAGACTATATTCTTCTTATTTGTATTCAAATAGAGGTATGAAGGGTACCATTGTGAATCAGAAATGTCATTTTTTTAATTGAGGGTCACTTGAAATTACGTATGCAGTTCTCTTTAAATAAGTTTTAATGTTTTCTTAAAAAAATACCCTAAAAATGCACACACATATATTTAACCATACCCAGCAAACAGAATCGGGAACTTAACCAAAATGTGAATGCATTACTTTTCTGAATTGGTTTTGATTGGTAGGAGGAACATGGTATGATAATATATACCCTGGTGTAGCCTGTGATGTACCAAGCCATCTTTACAGGTAAAGGGAGAGGTTGCTGAAAATCTTTAAAGGATCAGGTCTCAAAAAATGAAATTCTCCTTAATTAAATAATAAATTAAAAAAAAATTTTATTATTTTTTTTTGTCCCCATTAATATTTAATACAAAAATCACCTGAAAAATTTCTGGTTTAAAGTTTTCAACTTTTAGTTTCTCGTTCTTTCTGAATCCATTCTGGAGTAGAGCGTTTAGTAAAGGGAAGGAAATCCATGAGTATCTACAGGCAGCTGCATCCAAGTAAATATGAAATTTTAAAGGGATCGTAAAAGGGATTGGGATTCTAAAAAGGGGTTGTAGAAAGGATTGCAAAGGAATTGTAAAGGTAATGTAAAAGAAATTCTTAACGAATGTGTGTGTGGGAGTGTAAACGGGATTATAAAAGAGATTATAACAGAGATTATAAAAGAGATCATAAAAGAGATCATAAAAGAGATTTTGAAAGGGATTATAAGAAGGGATTTTAAAAGGGATTTAAAAAAGGATTGTAAATGGGATTGTAAAAAGGGATTGTAAATAAGGGATTGTAAAAAGGGATTGTAAAAGGGATTGTAAAAGGGATTGTAAAAGGGATCGTAAAAGGAATTTTAAAAAGGGATTGCAAAACGGGATTGTAAAAGGGATTTCAAAAGGGATTTTAAAATGGGAGTGTAAAAGGGATTATAAAAGGGATAGTAAAAGATATTGTAAAAGGGAAAGTAAAAGGTATTCGCATCTTTTTAAAATGTGTATTAGGACAGAATTAAAAAAATGTACATTCTGTTATCAGAACCAGAAAAATGTGGAATAAGAAGACGACATTAAAGCTTAAATACTTACATGTATCTGATGTTGTTACAAACCAAACAGTTTTCCTAGTGACCTTAGAAATAAATCTGGACAAGTGTCTCATGTAAAATCTTCCTCCTGTTCCGGAGTTTTCTTGTTTTTGCTGTAAGAAAGTAAATACGTTATAAGAAAGGCTTCTGTTTTTCCTTTCTTTTTCCGCTTAAAGTTTATAAAATCATATATTTATTATGAGGAATTCCTACCCTAGAAGGAATTTCTATCAAAAGAAGGATATCTGCAAGTAAATTCGTATTTTGGAAGTTTAAAATTAAATTGTCAACATTATCTAAGATCTTACAATCCTAACCAGAAAGACCCGGAACTAATTAACAATTAATCAGACGAATTTACAATCTAATTTTATAAATATAATTAATGCAACGGTAATCACAAAATAGCCCTAGTCCTGCCATTTCCACAAATGTTTTCTGCCTTTTTTGAGGATTTAAAATTGCAAGAGAATATATGTAAAGTCGCCGGATTAACTGTTAATTAATTCCGGGTCTTTCTGATTATGACTTTAGTAAAAATCTATTTCAAACTTGATACAGGTTTAGCAACAAAGAATGAGACTTCAGAGACGACTGTACCGAAATTATAAAATAAAAATTATCAAAAACCAGTGAGACACAAATTACAGAGATATTTCACTGGATCAAATAAAGAATAAACATCATTCGGTGTTTCATTAAACCTTGAAATTATATTGAATTTCAAAGTGTACTTTAAAGGCTATGCAGATACATATAAAAAAGTCCTTATTTATCCATTTTTTGGTTAAAACCTAATAAGTTTATGAGTAGGAATGAAAGGTACTGTTGTAAATCAGATAGTTTTTATTTTACAACAATTACGGCCATGTTTAATGTGTAAAGCTTAAAATACACAGGGATTTGTTAAACAATGGTAGGTCTCTATACCAACACAACAATATCAACATTAGCTTTGCTTTCTATCCTGTTTACATACTACATAGACACACAATCAACATTAGCTTTGCTTTTTATCCTGTTTACATACTACATAGACACACAATCAACATTAGCTTTGCTTTTTATCCTGTTTACATACTGCATAGACGCACAATCAAGTGAACAAGGAAGATGTTAATTAGAAGGCAGTCGTTATTTTATGAAGTAGATTTATGACATGAAATAACTGGAAATGTACGAAAACATAAATTACTGTTAGGTTTGGTGTTTACCCCCATGTACAGTATGAAAAGCATGTGAGCAGCGCCACCTGGGATAAGAAAACTAATCTTTGGACTGTTCTCACCAAGGATGGATCAAGTTACACTGCTAATATTCTAATCTCAGGTAGGCAGTGTTTAGGATCCAAATAATTTTGATGTGGATTCGAATCCGGGCCCTGAATCCGCACTGTAAAAAAATAGATCCGGATCCTGGTCTTGAAATTATGTTAAGATTTCCATAAATTTTCTTTAACAAAGCAGTACTGTCAAATTATTTTTCTTCTTGTTTTTGTGCTCATTTTTACGCAATAACTTACATCATTCAGATGTCATCTTTCTTTTTTCAACAGTTCAGATTAAGGGTTTGAAAGTTCAGTAAGATAGTTTGTTTGGTTGATTTTTTACTCCCTTGGATAGGGCTGGACATTAAGTTCCGTTAACGGAACAGAGGTTTTCGAAAATTAACGGAAGAGTTCTAATTTTTAAACCATCAACAAAACGGATTAGCTGTTTTTGAAAAAAAATTAACGTTGAAAAAGAAAACGGAACTGATTTTTTGTTTGATCTAACCCTTATTTAGCTCTTGTAGACAAGGGAAAATTGCATTTTGACACATATTTCTGAACCATACTATGCTTCAATTTGATATCAAATTAAGTATACAAGAAAGGTATTGTTAGTGAGTAGATATCAGATACATTTGCAGTTTTCAGAATGTCTGACTCAACAACTGTTGAAGGTTAGCTTCAAACACAATTTTTTTCGACAAAAGAATTCTTTTCTTTTTTCCAAGTAGGGTGTACTGCCATGTTATTCCACACAGGGTTCTGATCAGCCAAAAGAAACTGAAGAACCTGACTGTACTGAGCTCCCTTGGTGCTTACACATAGAACCAGATTCAATTGAAAGAATTAACGTCTTTCCGACAAATTTGAATATCTAATAACAGATAGCCAGGCTTGTTATAAAGGAGTATATTTAAAGCTGCCACTAGCAAAGTCTAGTTCCAGCTAGGTAAAAACCTCCATTCTCCAGAGCAATAGTAAAAACTAAAACTATTTACAGTAAAGGGGCACGTTAACAGCCTAGCAATCTATATAAAAAAGTGTCATCTTAACAAAAATGTTCTCATTCTATCTTTACTAATTTTTAAAATTCAGGATGTGGTGGGCTTCATGTTCCAAGGTTTCCAGATTACAAAGGAATGGACTTATTTAAGGTTATCTATTGTGTTCAAATTTTTAACTTTCATATATTTATTTATTTGTTCATTCTATTAATCATCCCTGTAGCGTAGTCACTAGTCAATCCCTATGTCAGTGGGACTAGATGGGATAGTCCAACATAATGAGCGTGAAACTGTAAAAACACGTCCCGAATCTGGGTTGCTGTTGCTGCATCCACAACAACTTGAAAAGTGTTCAATTCTTATTATCTCCCGTATGTTTCGTATAAATGCGCAAGTCACTTTTGCAGAGAAATCACAAAAGAAAATAAACAAAAAACATAATTATACTTAAACATTATATCATCAATTTAAAAGCGTTGTCAAAAATTCTATGCCGAATTTTCGGTTTTATAGTTTTTCAAATAATATTTCAAAATGATTTCCTTAAAAATGTTTTCGTTACTTCTATACTACGGTGAATCCCAGATATATGAATACATAACAAGAGTTTTTAAAATGTCGTATTCTCAACATATTTAAGATCAAATGCCGCGGAAAACGAGTTTACTATGCGAAAATAAATTTCACAGCCAACCGAACCTGAGGTTATATTAGACTTAAACTCCGCTAGCCATCTTTTTTCTGTTGTTTTTGGAACGCACTGTAATCTATTTATGTTTTCTCCACTGTTTTACACTGTAAGTTAATATTTTTATTTATTTGATTGACTTTAAACTTGTAAGAATATATATCTAGTAAGGCTCATGTCTAGTCATTTGTAATCTGAGGGCGGTGTGGTGTAAATTGTTGATTGGTTAAATACAGGGGTAAAGAAGTTCGTGAGTGGGGAAAACGGGTGGGNGTTTGGGGAGTTTCAAAGAAAACGAGGAGGGAGTTGGGATTTGCACAGCTTTCCCGCGAATTCTGTCTTACTCTTATTCCTTTAGGGTGAGAGTTTCCATACTGCGCTCTGGAACAAAGATTTTGATCCAACTAACAAGAGAATTGCTGTACTTGGTACAGGAGCCTCTGCTGTACAGGTATAAAGAACTTCACTATACAGAAACCTCTGCTGTATAGGTATGTACAACTGTGCTGTACAGGTAAATAAAACTTTACTCGGTACAGAAACCTCCGCTGTACAGGTATATATGAATCCCTGCTGTACAGGTAATAGAATTGCACTTTACAGGAACCTCTGCTGTACAGGTATGTATAACAACTGTACATGGTACAGGAGCATCTGTTGTACTTGGTACAGGAGAATCTGTTGTACATGGTATAGGAGCATCCGTACTTATTACAGGAGCATTTGTACTTGATAAATGAGCATATGTGTACTCGGTACATGAGCATATGGTGTACTTGGTACAAGATCATCTGTTGTACTTGGTACAAGAGCATCTGTTGTACTTGGTACAGGTGCATCTGTTGTACTTAGGGTACAGGAGCATCTGTACTTGGTACAAGAGCATCTGTGGTACTTGGTACAGGAGCATCTGTACTGTGTACAGGTATGTACAAATGTACTTTGTACAGGAGTATCATGTTGTACTTGGTACAGGAGCACCTGTACTTGTTACAGGAGTATTTTTACTTGATAAATGAGCATATGTGTACTCGGTACATGAGCATTTGGTGTACTTGGTACAGGATCATCTGTTGTACTTTGTACAAGAGCATCTGTTGTACTTGGTACAGGTATGTACAAATGTACTTTGTACAGGAGCATCTGTTGTACTTGGTACAGGATCATCTGTACTTGGTACAGGAGCATCTGTTGTATTTGGTACAGGAGCATCTGTACTTGGTACAGGAGCATCTGTTGTACTTTGTATAGGAATATCTGTGCTTGGTACAGGAGCAAATGTTGTACCTGGTACAGGAGCATCTGTTGTACTTGGTATAGGAGCATCTGTTGTACTTGGTACAGGAGCATCTGTTGTACTTTGGGTACAGGAGCATCTGTACTTGGTACAAGAGCATATGTTGTACTTGGTACAGAAGCATCTGTACTTGGCACAGGTATGTACAAATGTACTTGGTACAGGAGCATCTGTTGTACTTGGTATAGGAGCATCTGTACTTGGTAAAGGAGCATCTGTACTTGGTACAGGAGCATCTGTTTCACTTGGTACAGAAGCCTCTATTGTACATGGTACAGGAGCATCTGCTGTACAGGTATGTACAGCTGTACTTGGTACAGTAGTATCTGTTGTACTTGTACAGGAGCCTCTGCTGTACAGATATACATATCTTTACTTGGCAGAGGAGTCTCTGCTGTATACAGGTGAACAGACGTTTATAGAGCTATACATTGTACAGGAGTCTCTGCCGTACATTGCACAGATTTAAAGTGCTTTACTTGGTACAGGAGTCTCTGCTGTATAAAGGTGAACACTGGACAGATTTAAAGTGCTTTACTTAGTACAGGAGTCTCTGCTGTATAAAGGTGAACACTGGACAGATTTAAAGTGCTTTACTTAGTACAGGAGTCTCTGCTGTATAAAGGTGAACAATGAACAGATTTAAAGTGCTTTACTTAGTACAGGAGTCTCTGCTGTATAAAGGTGAACAATGAACAGATTTAAAGTGCTTTACATAGTACAGGAGTCTCTGCTGTACATATTCTTCTTTAACTGAAAGCAACATCAACATATTATAAATGTCGCCTTCTCTAAAATTTAGATTTATAAAGATGTTAGGTCCTTACTTTGATGTAATATGATTTACATCGCAGAATATTTACTGGTCCTCCAGATATTTTTTCTATTAACAAATTTAGTTCAGCAACTAGTTTGATCCAACAAGCATGTACATTGTACATTGTGTATCTTTAAACTATATAATTGTCCCTTGAAAATTGTCGGAGAAATCAAGAAATTTGACCAGATTTCAATTTTTATAAAAAAATTTTTTTTATAAACTTTAATAACACACAAACGATAGACCACATGTTGGAAACATGTTCGAAATTTAGAATTTTTTTGATACACTGTCAGAAATCAAAGACTATTTATGTACATTGGCACCCGAATAAAACTGCGGAACAGGAAATCGACTGTTAGACTGAAATAATGTTTTTAAATAGTACAATAAACATGAAACGCAACATTTAGGTACAGGGTGTCCCACGAAACATGACAGTATGCAAGAGGACTTGAATGTCGTCTTGATTTTTGATATAATTTGCTGTGTTTATTTGTCAACCTAATTTTAGAAGTAAATTTCTAGAGATAATAATCACAAAATTCCCCTAGTCCTGCCATTTCCCAAATGTGGTCTGCCTTTTTTGTGCTTTCAATATTGCCCGACATATAAAGAATTTCGTTCAGATTTCGACAATTTTGCTTTTATTTAACAAAATTGAAATCTGAACCAAACTCTTTATATCTTCGGTAATATTGAAAGCACAAAAAACGCATACCACTTTTTGGAAATGCCAGAGCTAGGAGAATTATGTGATAATTGTTTCAAGAATCATACATGTTAAAGTAGATAGAAGACAAAATGTCACAAAAAAATTCATATATCAAAGACGACTTTCAAGTCGTCTTGCTATTGTCATGTTTCGTGGGACACCCTGTATCTCTGTACACACCGACCTACTTGCTTTATCACAACATAAAATAGAAGATTGCTTAAATGTCGTCTTGATATTCCACAGTTTTATGGGTCACACTGTAAAGGTTGTCATTTAATTTAGGCTGTTCCTAATCTAGCAGAGATGGGAGTAAAATCTTTAACAGTTTTCCAACGAACCCCTTGCTGGGCCCCTCCTAGGTGTAAAGAATTCGTTAATTTTTACATTCATGTTTCACTCATTTTTCATTCATTTTTTTTATTAATTTTTTATTAATTTTTCATTAATTTTTCATTAATTGTCATTATGTTTTCATTCGTTTTTCTCTTATCTTTTTTTTCTGAATTTTTGTTTCAGTTTTCATTAATTTTTTATTAATTTTTCATTCATTTTCATTTATTTTTTATTCGTTTTTGATTAATTGTCATTAATTTGTCATTGGTTTTTCCTTTGTCTAATATTTCTTTTTAATTTTTCATTTACATTCGTTTTCAATCCCTTTTTCATTCATTTTTCATCCATTTTTCATTCATTTTTCATCCATTTTTTATCCATTTTTCATTCATTTTTCATCCATTTTTTATCCATTTTTCATTCATTTTTCATTCATTTTTCATCCATTTTTCACTCGTTTTTCATTCCTTCATTTAAGCAGTTCATACGGATTCATTCTGAAAAAAATTGATCGATTGAATATGAACGATTATGGGTATCTTGAATATGTGAAGAAGATATTTCATCTAGGTTTGATTATGAGTATCTTGAATACGTGAAAACGATGTTTAATCTAGGTTTGATTATGAATATCCTGAATATGTGAAGACGATATTTAATCTAGGTTTGATTATGAATATCCTGAATATATGAAGACGATATTTAATCTAGGTTTGATTATGAATATCCTGAATATGTGAAGAAGATATTTAATCTAGGTTTGATTATGAATATCCTGAATATGTGAAGACGATATTTAATCTAGGTTTGATTATGAATATCTTGAATATGTGAAGACGATATTTAATCTAGGTTTGATATTATGAATATCCTTAATATATGAAGACTATATTTAAACTAGGTTTGATTATGAATATCCCGAATATGTGAAGACGATATTTAATCTAGGTTTGATTATGAATATCCTGAATATGTGAAGACGATATTTAATCTTTTTCCGTTCACCAATACTCTACTAAGGTAACATATACTTTAAAAACTATAAAAATTTTGTAATGCAAACTTGTTTGTTAGAATTTTCAAAATTTTATTCGAAAATTTTAGGTTGATTTTTATTCAACACGTTTTTCTAGATTTGACTTTTTTAAATAAAAAATTCAGTGGGTCGGTCAACAGAATTCCATGAGATTATAAAGAAACATTTCTTTTTTTGTGTTGACTATGCCGGATGTTTTATACAGGGTGTCCCATATCATATTAGATCGTTTATAGCTTTAAATTGAGTCTAAAATACAAGGTTTTTTGAGTATTAGTGCGTTAAAGCTTGGAAATAATACAATATGATATGGAACGCTCTGTATAATGTCATGATTGAAGTTTTCCTACGGTGAAGACGACTTTTCTATTCAAGTTTTGATTTTTAACAAGTTTTTTCAAATTACTGGTTTACCGGTAACAAAGAAAAGCTGTTAATTGATAGCTAGTTTTTGTTTACATGTTATATGTGTATCCATGCTGTTAGAAAGCTTGGTAGAAATCAAAAATTGAAATTGAAAGTAGTCTTCATTGTATTACTAATTGCTATATACGACGACGACTGTAGTAAGAAAATATTCATAATTGTTTTAAGATATTTCTACTTCTGGCGCAATGAGTTCAGATTTCGCATAATCTTCACAAAATCAGCCTGGATCACTCAGAAACTATCCGCTGTAGTACACAAACAGGTACATAAATAGATAGATACATGTACATAAATAGGTAAATACCCGTACATAATCAGATAGATACCTGTAAAAAAATAGTTAGATATCTTGTACATAAAAGAAACATATAGATAATTGTAAATAAGTAGGTAGATATCTGTAGCATAAGTAGGTAGATACCTGTACATAAACAGGTAGATACCTCTACATAATTAGTTAGATACTTGTACATAAATAGTATAGCTAACCGTACATAAACAGGTAGATACCTGTACATAAATAGGTAGATACCTGTACATAAATAGGACAATACCTGTACATAAACAGGTAGATACCTTTACATAAATAGGTAGATACCTGTACATAAACAGGTAGATAATTGTGCATAAACAGGCAGATACCTTTACATAAATAGTATAGCTACCCGTACATAAACAGGTAGATACCTGCACATAAACAGGTAGATACCTGAACATAAACAGGTAGATACCTGTACATAAATAGGTAAATACCTGTACATAAACAGGTAGATACCTGTACATAAATAGGTAGATACCTGTACATAAACAGGTAGATAATTGTGCATAAACAGGTAGTTACCTGTACATAAAAAGGTAGATATCTGTACATAAACAGGAAGATAATTGTACATAAACAGGTAGATACCTGTACATAAACAGGTGGATACCTGTTACATATAACAAGTATAAACAGGTAGATACCTGTTACATATAACAAGTTTAGACAGGTAGATACATATTTGTAAAAATTGTTGAATTAACCCGTCTTCGATGATTAAAATAGAATATGTTGTAAGACCTCTAGTTTGCAGGTTCGTGGTTACTGCCAGATGATGATTAAGGACAAGGAGCTGGCAAGCAAGTTGATCCCTGACTATGACATGGGGTGCAAGAGAATAACTCCCTCGGATACGTACCTTCAAGCATTTAACAAGGATAATGTGCATCTTGTTACAGACAAGGTTAGAGGCTTTTTATCTTAATTTTACGAACTCAGTTCCCTGAAATAATTTGAGACAAATCGGTCAATGGGTTCCTGGAATATACAAACAAACAGACAAAAGAATATTAATGCTTTAGCTATATAGATAACGCTATTAAAGTTTAAATATATACAGGGTTACCCACAAAAGATGAGACTTTAGAGACCACCATGTAGAATTTATTTATTCAAAGATTCCTGCGGATGTAAACTTTCATGAATCAAAACCGCAAACATTTTAGTTTGTAATTTAAAAAATAATTTGTAACCGACTGAAAATTTTTAAAATGTAGTTTATACTTTTCTTAAGCATAGATTCTGCTTAATTTGCATAAAATTGCACAAGTTTGGTACAAAACTTCAAATTCCTTGAAGTAAGGCAGGTTTTTCAAAATTTATCTGTTTTCGTAATTTCTATGTATTGGTTCTTTCCTCAAAAAAGTTTGTTGAAATTTAAAAATTTCTTAAAAATATTTTGCGGAAGAAAAATGTTAACCTTTTTATTATTGGTTAGTTTCTCTTTCTCTGAACTTACAAGCTGATATCGGAATGTTAGAATTCCTTAGTTATTGTAGAGAAGAATTTAAAAAATATTTTTCAATAGATATCTGAGATCACAGAAACTTGTGTACGCACAGCTGATGGTAGAGAGCACGAGATTGACGCCCTTATCTACGCAACAGGATTCGATCTTCTGAAAAGTGCAAAACCATTTACTCAAGTTGGTCTTCAAGGTCAAGCAAAAGTTTCAATTAGAATTTAAAATTTAAAATAAACGTTTTGATAGAGTTAACGTTTTTTGCTTCTAAAATATTCATTGGCTCTTGAGAAATATTCTAAGGACTCACCAGAAATCTTCTAAGTCTGACATGATTGAATTGTGTAAATATATACTTTGCTTGTCTGTCTGTTTGTTTGTATCCAATAAACGGCAATACGAAATTTTATGTGAGACCTCACATGACCCCAGGGAAGGTTTTGCCACCAACAAAATTTGATTTCTTAAATTATAAAAATCCACGACATATTTTATATTAAATCTGCAAATTTTTTTGCTTGTATTTCCTTAAAGGAGTGTCGTTGTAATTTTAATTGAAAAAATGGCACACTGGATTCACAGTTGTACCATTAAGACCTTTATCTGATCAATAATGTGGAAATTGACGTTGTTTTTCTAATTACTTCTTAGATAAACCACCAATGAAAATGATTAGTTTCATAAACAAATACAAGGAGCGAATTCACACAAAATCAGACAACGCTTTTATGGGGCACCTTTGTGAATTGAACAATCTACTCTTTTATTGGAGGGTCACTACTCACTTGAAATTACGCTTACAGTCCCTTTAAGGCTTATTAAATAACACATCACATAACAAAATAACTTTATATATTAAAATGGATTCTTAATTCGAATGCAAAATTTAAGACTTTTTTATTTAACTGATTTTTAAGGTAAATTAAGGTAAGGTAAATTAAGGAAATTCCATTTTTTAGGGGAATTTTTTTACCATCCTTTGACCAACATTACCGACCTATGACGGGCTATGGTTCCCCAAACAGAAGGACGTTAAGTAAAATAACCATACGCTCTAAGAAGATTCCAACTTTCCAAGTCAATAGTCGAGAATATTGTGTTCAACTACTTTTACAGAAAATTAAAAATTTTACTTAACCACAGGTTCCCTCGGTCATGGGATCCCTTGGTAAAATGAAATTCCTTTAACTTCCCTGTAAAGTACCTGTAAATAATTATTATTTACCAGCAGTAAATAATTATTATTTACCAGCAACAAATAATTCTATTATATACATTGTTTTTTTTTTTGTTTAGGAAAGCCGCTGCACGAGATATTTGATGATGCCCCGTATGCTTACCTTGGTATAGCACATGATAATAATCCAAACTGTTTTTGGTTACTTGGCCCAGGGACAGGGTTAGGACATAATTCAATCATATACATGATAGAATGCGAGGTAAGTTGGGCATTAAAGGGAGTGCTCGCGAAAAATGAAAGGGCGTATAGGCTTAATGCGATAAAAAAGCGCGTTTGATCGCTACTTCTATCTGTTGCGTCATACGACTTAGACTGTAAAAAAATCAATTTAATTTCAAACAAATCATTCAGATATTACAACCTATAGTCATCAATTATCTTTCGCCACATTTGTATATAGTTTATATTTTATAATATTTGCAATGTTCTCAATTTGTATGGACGCTAAGTTATTCGGTATGAGACGTTTTTAACAATTTTCTCCTTATAGACGCAACAGATAGAAGTAAGATTAGTAGCGATCAAAAGCGCTTTTTATCGCATTAAGCCTACACCCCCTTTCATTTTTCGCGAACACTCCCTTTAAGGGTGTGAACTTTTTCTGAAACAATTTTACAGAAGCAAAAAAGTATTCTATTAGGAATACTCGGACATGTTTAAAAGATACATTTTTCACAAAACTTCAGACAAAGATTTTCTTGCATAAGAAATATTTTGTACTTTATCATTCTTCCTCACTTCATCGTGAATTTCATAATGAACGTACTATAAAGTAATTATCGTGCTATAAGGTTAAATTAGCTGTACATTATAGCAAATTTAGGATATTTCCAAAATGTTTTTTTTCAATTGAAATAAAAATTAAAATTAAAATCAACTTTATATTTTGACTTCTGCTGTGTTTCAAAGCTTATTTGATCTAGAAATAAGACAAGTACACAAACGTTTCATAAAATTACCTATAACACTATTATTTTGGCATGACGTGCTATAAAGTTTTTGGACTTAAATTTACTCTATATCTCGAAGGTTCTCGCCTTTTTAGATTATATAATGTCCCTCGCTAAAGCTCAGGACAAAATTAAATCTAAAAAGGCTTGAACATTCTCGATAAAGATAAAATTTGTGTCCAAAAACTTTGTAACACTGCGAGCCAAAATAACAGTGTTTTAAATAGTTAATTCATATCTCTTTCGTATACTAGATACTTTTTTATTTGAGATTAAAAAGAAATCCATTTTATGATTCGTTTGTAAGTTTGAAGTAATTCAAGTTTGAATACAAACTTTACATGGGTGAAACCTTTATTTATAATTTTATTTTTTAGGCGAACTATACGATTGATGCAATCCGTAAAATGTTAGCAAAGGGAGCCAAGTAAGTAACTTGTTTTTAGTCTGGATTTTCTTGTAGAGTAAACGCTGGCCAGTACAGTAAACGTTTATAACTAAAACAACGGTATCAAGGCCCCGAGAGTATAGGGAATTTGTTTTGGGGACCAGGGTGGTCTAATTTTTTTAAGGGAGGCTTAGCCCTCGTTAAGGCCTGAAAACCACTGGAAAACTTTAGAATCCAACTGATTCAAGGTGGGGCTGAGCCCCCATAGCCCCCCCCCCCCTATACGCCTCTGGCACGTTGGGAAGGCCATACTAAAAATTATTTTCTAGTAGAATGACACAAAAGAAGTTTCTTTGCCGCCGGAAAAAAAAGATTTCATTTGAGGAAACCCTATTTGTTTATTAATATTTAACTTTAAATATGCTCGTATTGTGCAGTGTGCGCAACTGTTAAGTTTGCTATATTAACAATAGGCAAACTTTTAAACTGTGAGATTAGATAAAAGGCCAATGCTAAAAATGATTTGACTGGTACAATCGGCTAAAAAAAAATTATTTTCATTGAAGGAAAGCATTCATAAAATACAGTGAAACCCATAATATTCTAAAACTGGAAGACAACAATTAGACTCAAAGTATGTTATTTAGATAGTCCAATGAACATCATAACAATTGTGTAAACGAACCTATTTAACTTAATGAGTTGGGTCTCAAGTGATGGGCGGGGAAAGTATAACGCTAATATTATAACCACCAAAAATATAACTAACAAAAATATAACTGACAAAAATATAACTGACCAAAAATATAACCAATCAAAAACATAACCATTTTCGATCAAAATTATAACTTTTTGTGACCAAAAATATAACTTTTTTGACCAAAAATATAACCAATTTTTAGCCAAAAATATTGCTTTTTTAGACTAAAAATATTTTTGATCTAATATATAACTTTTTTTTTGCTAAAATATAACCATTTACGACTAAATATATTAATATTTATGTAAATATAACCATTTTTTAGCCAAAAACAAACCATTTCTTAGCCAAAATTATAACTTTTTTCAAACAAAATTTTACCATTTTTGACCGAAAATATAATCATTTTTGATTAAAAATATAGCTACCAAAAACATAACAGACCAAAAATATAGCTGTATTCGAACAAAAATGGGTTTTATATCTGCCTTTTGAATGCATGCAAATTCTTTATACATGTATTTTTGTTTCATCCTGTGCATGCGTACGACATAGGTTTTCTTTTCGTACAAAAGTGTGGTTATATTTTTGGTTAAAAACGGTAATATTTATGGCTTAGCAATGGCTATATTATAAGGTAATAATTGCTATATTTTTAGTAAAAAACGGGTATATTTTTGGCTAAAATTTTTTTTATTTTTAAAGAATAATGGCTATATTTTGGGTTAAAAAACTGGTTTAATTTTTAGATAAGCAATGGTTATATTATAAGCTAAAAATTGTTATATTTTAGGCTTAAAATGGTTAAATTTTTTGGTTAAAAAATTGTTATTTTTGGTAAAAAATGTTCATATGTTTTGTAAAGAAACGGTTATATTTTGGGTAAAACGTGGTTATATTTTGGCTGGTTATATTTTTAGCAGTTATATTTTTGGTCAAAACATGGTTATATTTTGAATGGTTATATTTTTAGCAGTTATTTTTTTGGTCAAAACATGGTTATATTTTTAGTTGGTTATATTTTGGTTGGTTATATTTTTAGCAGTTATATTATTTGTCAAAGCATGGTTATATTTTTGGTTGGTTATATTTTTAGCAGTCATATTTTTGGTCAAAACATGGTTATAATTTTGGACGTTATATTATCAGAGTTATATTTCCCCAGCCCATCCCTTGGAGTTTTCAACCAACTGGTGAAACTATTTGCTTTACAACAACATCGAATACATACATAAATATCCCATCCTTAGGTCGATGGTTGTAAAGAAGCATGTGCAGAGGAACTACTGGGACTGGGTGCAGGACAATATGAAGGTTTTAAACAAATTTATTTTATCATTTCGTCATAGACTATAAAAAAACTTTTCGCTCATGTTAGTTATTGCCGGTCAAACGACTCGAATAAACTGGGTAATAGGCAAAACTGGGACTAAACTGGGTTTTTTACAGCCCTGCTATTTTTGCAAATTATTAGGTTCCAAGCATTATGAGAATATTCTAATAATAATGGAAAATTTCGAAGTGCAATTAATTTGTCTTTAAATTTTTACTGGATAATGCTTGGTATAATGGATACCCAGAACTAAACCCAGATTAAATATCATCTCTATACCTTGAAGGGGCTGTAAGCGTAATTTCAAGTGGCCCTTCATGCAAAGATGACAATGTTAGATTTACAACAGTACCGTTGAAACTTAATCAAAATTATCATTTTTCTAGGTTCAAAAGATTTAATTTCTAAAAATTCCAATATGTTTCCCTGTACTAGAAATGCGAAAGTCACTTTCGTAGAGAAACCACAATTGAAATAACTCCGATGTCTAATTCATACTTGATCAGACAACGGTTTTTAGGGGGTGGTAATCAGACAATGTCATCTTTGCATTCAGGGTCACTTGAAATTACGCTTACCAGTCCCCTTAATCAGAACCAAACGGAGTGTATCAGTTTTCATTGAATACCGCTAATCTAAAAACTTTAATAAAAACTGGTTGAATTTCAATGATGCTAATGCAATGATTGGACTAAGCCCTGGGTTTATCCTATGGGTTCCAGCGAAAAGGGGAATTCTCGAGAAGGAAAAGATGTCGTCGAAAAGCTCCCATTCTTTCGCATTTCGTTCATAAGAAATGCAAAAATTTCGCGAAAAAAACAAATGCGAAAATTTTTGGGATAACAAGATACGAAATTATTTATTATGACATAATATAACTTGTAATGCTGAGCTCTCAGAGCAGAGAATTTAACAAGTTTTTTTGCGCAGGCAAGTTTTTGGTGGTTGCAGCTACAAAATTTATGGGTTTTTTTGCGAAAATTGTTTTCGCGAAATCTTCTTTTTCGCATTTTCTCGCTAAATTCATTTCCGCAAAAATGCTAAAAAAAATTGCATTTTTTCGCAAGAAAGGAAACCCTAGTTTATCATTATATCCCTCGGGGGTTTAAATTTTCATTGGGTCTAATTTATCTGAGAGTAAACAATTACACTTATTCGGGTTCACAAAATACAGCAACTTGTATTTAATTTTGAATAGAAGGAAATATTGAATTTAAGTTTATAATCTGTCTACCTATATCTGAAATTTTTACAGTAAATCCCAAAAATGATAAAAAAGTATTTCAAATAGTCCCAATTAATATCAAACATAAAACACGTACATTAATTGTGCACTACACAGTATGTACTCGTACTGTTTTCTAAGAACATGAAATAAGCATAAGAATGCTAAAATGTCGTCTTCAAACTTGACAGTCTTATTGGTTGCCACTGAAGTGAAAATTGAAAAGATATTTTTTTTCCAGGGCAAGGTGTTTGCTGATAATTCAGCCTGTACTGGATGGTACAGAAACTCAAGGAAACATTTAATCTTTAGCTCATGTACAGTGTTGTAGTGTACAGTGTACATGGTACAAAATATATTTATTGTACAGTACAGGCCCTATAATCACGGGGAGTAAGTGATGACAATCAATTTGATGATGTACAAATTTCTGGTCTTGAGGGGAATTTACTAGAAAAAAGTGTAAAACAGCCATTTTGTTGTACTGTTTCTATACTGCAGGTGTACTTCACATATTGATGCTATATAACCTTTTGGGCCCTGGAATATCATTTTATAGAAAATCTAAAATTATTGTTAAAAGAAAACCAAATTATGAAATAGGCTGGTTTCATAATTGACCTATGATCATTTCACATAGACTTTATGCCTTTCACTTTATAAACGATGATTTTCCGTTATAACTATAAATCAAATGATGTTTTTATTCACCTAATTCATTATAAAATTTATTTAACAGTTTGAAAAATTCGAAATTGAAATGAATAGTCTAGGGAACATACTGTATTAATGTACTCTACTGCATATAATATGTAAACATTTACATGATTTGTACACTTTGAACTCCCTTTCAGGCTGAAAGGGACTGAAAAAATTCATACGGAGAGATTCTTTAAATTCCCCTCTAATATATATTCTATTCTCTATGGTTAAACTGTAAGCCGACTTAAGAGCATTTAATTTACTCCTATATTCGAAAAATATATTTAAAAACGCTTATTTTGTTTACTGTACCGACTTTACCACATTACAACTTATCTAGTTTTCTTTGTACAGCCCAAGAATTAAGAAAAGCAAGCTTGTATAGTTGCTAAGGATCGGATTTTAATATTTTCTTCTTATCGAGCTGCAGAAAGAACCTATGCTTAAAATCGGCCAGACTTCTAACAAGGGGGGGGGGGGGAGTGGAGGTTGTCTGTTGTTTTTAAAAGAATGTGCACTGTTCAATGAGTTTGATTAAATGTCGTTCTGTAGAGGAGTAAACTGGACACTGTGGCCCCAAGATCTTGTCTCCTATTGGTGGAAAACTAAGTCATGTGATCTACAGGATTATAATTTGTCCTACTAGACCTACAATGGTCCTGTTTTGTCCTACAGGACTACAGTTTGTCCTACCAGATGTTTATTTTCTGCTAATTATATTTGAATAGATTAAAAAAAATTTGAATTTGCTTGTTTTCCACTTACACCGCGGGATGTATTGAAAAAAAGATTAAAGTAATCTGTAGATTAACAAAAAATAGAGATCAGGCATTGATCTTGATATTCACTATACAAAAGTTCGAGCTCTGGTCTTGCTTCTTCATTAACTCAAACTTCAGCTTAAATTATGTATACTAATTAATAAAATTATGAATATAGATTTATTTTGCTTATAATACCACAATGACAGATTTAAATCCCACAGTCCAACATTAAAGTTTTTTTTAAAGATATTTGTTGACAGGAATTCATCATTTATATCAGAAATGCATGTTTTCATTCTATGTATCATTCTTGTGCAAGTATAATTTTATACCAACAAAAAAATCTAATTGGGTAAAATATATTAAATATGAACAAATATAACAACATTACTTTATTTACTAAAGAAGAACAGATTGACAATATATAGATCAGATACTGGTCACAAAATGATCATTTACGTACATATATCAAAGCTTTTGGACGTAATTAAAATGTTTTAAACCTTTAAAATTGAACAATTGTCAATACATTTCAGTTTTGTGACTTAGAGGCTCTCTAAATGATAGATTTGAGTATATTATATAAATATTCCAAAATATCTTTATCAAACGACACCATTACCACGATCAAAATATATGAACTTATTCTAGTCAGAGTAATTTTTGGGGCAGCATTATTCAGGTTCTGATATCCATTTTTTATAGCAAAAATGGTGAGGAAACTTAGAACTATGATTACAAAGAGTGTAATGATTGTGCTAGTTCTCAAGCACATTTTTTTAGCTACATCTTTCGCAAGTTCTAAATGTTTATTTGGTCCTGGAATCTGTTCTGGTTCTGGTTCAGATACATCCATGTTCACACTGGTAACCTCTACAATTGGGCCTTTCAGTATGGGCATGGAATTACTTCTTTGATCCTTTGTTACCACCGGTCCATGTTTCTCCGGGATGGATTCTGATCTATGAAGTGTTCTAGATCTTCCAAGTTGTTGGTTAGGAGCTTGTGGTGGGTGAATAATGATTTGGGATAAGACAGGTTCTACTTGATTAGTCTTCTTCATCTTAATATACTCCTTCACCAATACGAAAACTACCTTGACAATTTCAAGTAGTATCATAATTGCCAGCAATATTGTTGATGTAGGGGGCATTGAACATGTTTTATCCAAGGATTCATCAATGTGTCTCAAATCATAATCTAGGCTCGAATTTCTTGGGAATTGATAATTCTGGTTTGAATTTCTGCCAAATTTATCCTCTTGGCTAGAATTTCTGCTGAATTGATCCTCTAGGCTAGAATTTCTGCTGAATTGATCCTCCAGGCCTAAATTTCTGCTGAATTGATACTCTAGGCTAGAATTTCTGTTAAATTGACCCTTCAGGCTTAGATTTCCGTTGGCATATGAGACAATCCCAGTTTCAAGTTTAAAATGAAACAGTGTAAGGGTGTTTGAGTTTTCGCTGCACATGACTATTCCGTAAATAAAATCCATTGTGCTGACACCAACTGCTGAGGAACCAGTAACAAATGCTCCAAGAGAGGTTGGGTGAATGTTGTGGAAAGTCGCTGGATGGGTTAACAGCAGCAGCCTTCCGGCTGAAAGACTACACAAGGCTACCAGTTCCAGGATACTGAAGAATCTTGGTGACAGAAGACCAGCAGTAAGGGTAGGAAATTTGTTTACCAGTAACCTTAGCTCTGAGTTCCAGAAACAAGCCAGGGTTGAGATCAATAAGCTCCTGAATACGGCTAACATTGAGAACACAGTGAACACTGCTAGAATTCTGTTAAGTATGTTTTTATGAGCTGGGGGCCTTGTATTCAGAAAGGAGAGGAGAAGTGATGCAGCCAACATGGTTATTGTGAATCCCATGCAGTCTATAAAGAAGGTGTACATGTTTGGAGTTTCTGGGACTATGATGACCAGACAAATATAGACCACTACACACAACGTTTTTACCCAACCTGTTAGGGGCAGTTCCATCCTGCCCCCAACTCTGGTAAAACCAGACTGAACGGAGAAGATTAAACGGGGTAGCGAGGATTTGAGAGAAGGTTTGATATATCTCTCTTTGTTTATGGTTACTCAAGGATATATTTTACTTAAAAGAGCAATCTAAGAGTATCTCAATCTGAAAGTATCTATTCTGATCTCTTGTATAGAAGAATTCAATCTGAGATGGAATTTAAAGAATTTGAGCTGCGGTTTAAATCCGCCAAAACCCGGTTTAAATTAAGCGCCGGCTTAAATCTTGAAACATTTGATACAATTTTAAGTGGAACCAACCATATTTAAGCCGCGGCTTAAATTTAAACCGCCGCTCAAATTCTTTAAATTCGGCCACTGGAAGTATCTATTCTCTTATAATAGAAGAGAGCAATCTGAAAGTATCTATTCTCTAAGATAGAAGAAAGCAATCTGAAAGTATCTATTCTCTTATGTAGAAGAATGCAATCTGAAAGTATCTATTCTGTTATTTTGAAGAATGCAATCTGAAAGCATCTATTCTCTTACATAGAAGAAAGCCATCTGAAAGCATCTATTCTCTAACATAAAAGAGAGCAATTTGGAAGTATCTATAATTCTCTTATATAGAAGAGAACAATCTCAAAGTACCAATCTGGAAGTTATCTTTTGATTAGAAGAGAGAAATCTGGAATTATTTATTGTACAGAAGTTAGCAATCTGGAAGTATCTTTTATACAGAAAAGAGCAATCTGAAACCATCTATTATACAGAAGAGATAAATTTGGAAGTATCTATCTATATCTATATCATAGAACAAGACATTATACATATATATATATATATATGTTGCGTATAGCCAGCCAAACGGCTGGACCGATTGGGCTGAAATTTTTTTGTGGATACTCATGGGTTGCCGGGGAGTGTTATAGGCTAAAAAAAATCGATTTAAAAAAAGAATTTCCACGGGCAACGGCAGGTCTTTCAGCTAGTTCTTTTATGTAGAAGAAAGCAATCTGATGTTATCTAGTCCAATATACAGAATTGAGCAATCTGGAATATCATTCTATAACATAGAAGTAGACAATCTGGAAGTATCTACGGTACTGAAAGTGAACAATCTCGGAAGTATTCATTCTATAATAGAGAATTTTTCAATCGAACTTTTTTTCAATGTAACGAACGATTTTACTGTACGAACGAACGAACAGGACGAACAACTGAAAAAAAGCTGAAGGCGCCCAACTTTAGTGTTGATTGAACCACTTTTCGATATATCAAAAAAAAATTTTTTACATTTTTCGAATATAGTGTTTCTGAACTCAGACGTTTCAAGATTGATATTTTAGGCCCATATATATTGATTTATTTTGACAAAAAAAATTTTCTGACTCACATATGTGATTTCATTTACACAAAAAGTGCTATATAGTTTCACTCTAGTGTTGATGAGAACATCCATCAAATCAAATCATAAGTGTTGGGGAAAGCTTTAGGCTCCATTTCTCAGACTGGAGTAATCTTATTCTAGAATTAAAGAGAACATCCATCTAATCAAATCATGAGTGTTGGGGAAAGCTTTAGGCTCCATTTCTCAGACTGGAGTAATCTTATTCTAGAATTAAAGAACTAAGATATAATGTAAACCAGAATTTATTCAAGTATTTTAAAGGAAAATAATATTGGCATTAAACATGTAATACTTAATCACAAGCTTTCATGGTAAGTAATGATCGTCAATGATCATGGGAGGTCAAGATCTGTAAAAACTTACCCCCATATCCTATCTCAAGAAGTGATCTGTTAATTCAAATGGCATATAAGGAACAAAATAGTTATCAAAACTGTGTTAGGAGATCATATAAAGCATTAGATTCATTAATTGTATTGCAGTTGGTTGATCCAGTTGATCATCAAGAGTGATCAATTTAACCTGGAGTTCTTGAGATTCCAAAATAGGCTAGGGTTTTCACACAAACATAAGCATGTTAATAAACAGAACTTATTAAAAACGTATTCCTATTTGGAGAATATAGTCGATGTGGAAACGTGATTTCAACTGATTGATCTTTAGATGCGGAACAGGGCTGATACGCGATATCCTTACCAGAGCTTTCTATCTACAGTTTGATGTATAACTTTATCCTACATCATATATTCACCCACCCACTCCCAGTCAGTCTTAACAAAGATCTCACGGTGATCTACAGCACACAGCTAGTCTGAAAAACCTCCCAGGTATTGTTTAAATCTAACTTGAGTCAAACATTATATTAACAATAATTCCTGAGGACGACTGTACGTTTTGTTTCTGTACTACATACTTCTGTAGCTCATGAGGGATCGTTTCTAGATCAATTCCAGAAAGTGACTATTATTCTTTATTTCAATAATTATTCTATAAAGAATAAGATCGTTCTAAACCTGACTTTAAGCTAATCCAGGAGTATCCTGATCTATGTGCATTCATCCTACGGAATCAAGGAAGAAGTAAGTCCGCAGTGTTCACAGGACATCTTAAAAGGTTATTATCTAATAAACCTAATCTACATCAATGAAAACTGGTTCCTTATAGTTCTTTAAATTAGCAGGAGAAATTATACCGTTACACAGAAAACTTAAAACCTGATAAAACCCAACAGAAGACATTTGGATCAAATGAAAAATTTATATTAGAAAGCTTGGGACACCATTGTATTTCGTAAAATATTCTCATTTGCCTTTTGAAACAGATGTTTTAAGCTTGAAAAAAGTTCTCATATAACTCTTCAAACCCTTTTATCTGGTCGTAACATTTCACCAGAGATCACATTTTAAAATATTGGATTTTAATGTATTCTGTCAATTAACTTTATCAGAGGCCGAATTTAAAGAATCTAAGCCGCTACTTAAATTTGAGTTGTGGCTTAAATATGGTTGGTTTCACTTCAGATTGTCTTTAATGTTTAAAGATCTAAGCCGGCGCTCAATTGAAACCGGTTTTTAGCGGATTTAAGACACGGCTCAAATTTATTAAATTCGGACACTGGTCACAACATTTTACCATTCATCACATTTTATGAATAGTTTATATTTTCAGCTTCACAGCTAGTAGATGATCAAGAAATAAACTCTAAAACTAAAGACTTGAATATTTCTGTCTATGAGGTGACGTATAAACAATACATTGGTTAAATTGTTATGCACTTCTATTGTTCCGACGCTGAAAATTAAATTGAGAGATGCTAAAGGCTGAAAAGTGCAGACACGAAACGCCCTGAGCCCAAAACTTAAGACAGGGTATCGTCATGAAAACCAGTTTTAGAACCCAGGTTTCGTGAATGGGGTTATGCAGTTTTGTGGATATCAATATTTGTGTTATGAAATATTACTTTATTTAGTTTTTTCATATTTTCCATTTTTTTAAAACCTTTTTAATCAAAATCTACACAAATGTTAAGATCCCAAAAACGAAACTCTGGAGTTTCGTTCAACGATACTCTTTTAAATTTCGGGCTCTGGAGGATATTAATGTAAAAGAGATAATTCTGAAACCTGTTTGTAAGAATATAATATGTCTTATTGTCTTGTATCTTCTGTGAAATCAACCCAACCATAATAATTACACTTGAAACAACAATATGATATAAGTATATCTTTATTAAGAATGTTCCCAGAAACATTATTAAAGGACTAAAGAGGATCTTACTATCTTTATAAATTATCTCGAGAGCCTAGGATCAAGATTCAGACTGCTATATAAAGTTAAATCAATTTTCAGGACTTAGTCGACTTTAAAGTGTCGCAACGGTTTGACCTTTTATTTTTCATTTTAACTCTCATTTTGAACTATTTAAAATTTGTTTTTAGCTTTATTTTTTAGAAGTAATTAGCCATTTTTCAAATAATTTTTGCGCGAGAACTGGCAATCTTTGAATCACTTTGTGAGATGAAGCAGATTTTAAAATTTGTCAAGTAGATAATGATTTAAAATTTGTCAAGTAGATAATAATTTAAAATTTGTCAAGTAGATAATGATTTAAAATTTGTCAAGTAGATAATAATTCAAAATTTGTCAAGTAGATAATGATTTAAAATTTGTCAAGTAGATAATAATTTAAAATTTGTCAGGTAGATAATAATTAAAATTTCTCGAGTAGATAATTTAAAATTTGTAAAGTAGATAATGATTTAAAATTTGTCAAGTATGATAATAATTTAACAAAATATTGCCTTTTCATTTTGTTACAAAATTGAATTTGATTAAAAAGATTAGGTTAAAAACTGATGAGATAAGAAACTATAACACAGTTTAACACAAATTTTAAGTTCATTGTTCGATTTGTTCACTGTACGTATTCGTTAATTTTCATTCATTTTTGTTAGGTATTTAAAAGGAAATATGCAAATCAGTTTTTCTTGAATACACGGTATGTTATAGAAATTTTGCGAATATTTATATGGGTAAAAATACTGAAATGCATTTTTAAATTTGATTTACGGATGTAGGACACACCTCGCTTTTATATTAACTTTGTCTTCTATTGGCCACATTCTTAATGTTCAAAAAAAGGTCATGAAAAATGTTCATAAAAATGTGATGAAAAACATTTCTGAAGAATTTGGAAACCCATAATCAGGGGGCGGAAACGTCATGTGTGTGTGTGTCTGTACCAAAAGAGTGTTTGTGAAGTTTACCGAACCGAAGGTGTGTAGTGTACTGTAGGTATATACAGTACATACGAATCTCGGTATTTGTACAGTCTAGAAGAGTACATTTGTTTATTGTTAATTGTTTACTTAAAAATAAGTTTCATATACATGTAGTATATTATTTATATATTTAAGTCACAATAAGCCATATTTTCATGTAAAGAATATAATTTGGTTAAAGTTTACAATAAACTAGTCGTTATTCAAGCTTAATTATAATTGACGACATTGTTCTGCAATTTCCTTGACTGTAGTCATGTTGTGTGTCTGTACCAAAAGAGTGTGTGTAAGGTTTACCGAACTTGTCTGCAAAGCAATGCGACTGGCTTTCTCATGTCAGACCAGCGCCATTTTCCTTCCCTTTATTCTTATTCCCTGCCCATAATCTTCTAAAAAAATCTCTCTCATAATATAAAATAAATTTATCAGAATTGCGAAATTATATTAAAAAAGCAAGGTACATGGTTGTGTCCGTTTTGAACTGTAGTCTTTTTTAACATGGAGAAATCATACATCGATATAAACTGTAACTCAGACCGGAAATAGATAGAAAACGATCGGCATAACTAATTTATTGAGTTGTCTGAAGACGAAGTTTTTAGACTGACATGTCATATTCAGAATGGTACCCTTTTTATCCTTTATTTGAGTAACAAAAGGAAGATAATTAGCATTCCATCTTGGCTAGCCAGAAGCCACTTTGAAAATTTGATAATTTTGAATATAGGTTTTCAGGTAGAAAAGTAAGAATATATCAACCTCCCATGATATGAAAAAAGTTAAAAGGGTACTATTGTAAAACAAAGATGCCACTCTATAGAAGAATGGTCAATTATACTTACATCTTCAGTTCCTTTAAGTTTTAATTTTAATTTAATTTTGATTAATGATCAATCTTATATCAAAGTAGAGAGCAAAGTATTAATCTTGATAATTTCTGAGCAAGGGTCGTACAAATTACTTGACATTCAATAGTGACAGCGAAATATCATCTAGTTAATGAACAAAGATGTATTATATACATTTAAAGGTTGTCATGTAAAAGAATTGTACATAATTAAAGTATTCACATGGAAACAGTACATCATTCATTTCATGATTACTTGTATGTTTACAAGAATAATCTACAGAATTCATGATCAAAAGGTGAAAATAAATGCAATTCTTGATCTAATGAAGAGATTTATAGAGAATTCTTAAACATATGAAGAGAGTTGTACAAAACTCTTGATCATATTAAGAGAATTGTACAGAACTCTTAATCATATGATGAGAATTGTACGAAACTCTTGATCATATGAAGATAATTGTACAGAATTCTAGATCATATGAAGAGAATTATACAGAACTCGTTATTATACGGAGAGAATTGTACAGAACTCTTAATCATATGAAGAGAATTTTACAACTCTTGATCATATGAAGAGAATTATACAGAAATCTTGATCATATGAAGAGAATTGTACAGAACTCTAGATCATATGAAGAGAATAATACAGAACTCGTGATTATACAGAGAGAATTGTAAAGATTTCTTAATAATTGACGAGAATTGTACAGAAATCTTGATAATATGAAGAGAATTGTACAGAAATCTTGATCATATGAAGAGAATTGTACAGAAATCTTGATCATATGAAGAGAATTGTACAGAAATCTTGATCATATGAAGAGAATTGTACAGAAATCTTGATCATATGAAGATAATTGTACAGAAATCTTGATCATATGAAGATAATTGTACAGAAATCTTGATCATATAAAGATAATTCTCAGAAGTGTACACAAATCTAGATCAATTGTAAATAAGGCATACATTTAAACCAATAAACTATTTCAGATAAATCGTTGTCAATGAATACAATTTGAATCAATGTTATTGTAGCATCGATTATATTTCCGAGTTCGTTTCATAAAATCAAGCTTTTTAAATTTCCGTCGGAGGGATCGTTTGGAGGGATCGTTTGGAGGGATCGTCGGAGGGATCGTTTGGACGTCAAATGAAGCAAATCAATATTCAACATCAATAAGATTCGGGGGAATTATTCATAATAAGTATAATATCAATTGTCTTTTTTAAATCCAAATTAATATCCGAAGAAAGACTTTGGAAACCGTTTCCAAAAATGCATGAAAGAAAAAGTGAAGGAAGGAATTCATAAGATATATTTTAGTATATATCACCCGTTTTCGATTAAACAACAAACACTGGTTTCAGGAAAAAGCTACAAATAAAAAAACACTTAAACCCCTTTAAAAAATGCTTAAAAATGTCCCCTTTAACCAAAATGAAGTTAGTTAGTTCTTCTAAGTAAGGTATTAGTTAAAATCTGGAGAATTTACGCCTACAAATACAAGTTTTATCGGTGGACGGTTTAAGATGAAGCTTTTCACGCAAAGCTAAAGCTATTTATCGTATCGGCGCTTCTTATTTGTCCAGCTCCCTCTCTAGATCGGCTCCCATAAGGCTCCAATCCTCCTGACCTCCGATATCTTCATCATCATCATCACTCTGCTCCTCAACCTAAAAGATACTGTCGTTGTAATTTCAAATGACCCTCTATTTTAAGAAAAACGCCCGATTTACAATAGTACCCCTAAAACCTTTATCTGATAAAAAGTAAGAAAATACGCGTAAACAGAGAATTTACAAGGGTACCATTATGAATCACTTTAAAATTCTAGGGTCGCTTAAAATAACGCCTCTCTCAATTAATCTCAATCAGTTTTCAAATATGTACGGAATGTTTTATAAGGATTTTTAAATCGTCAAACTGGAAAAAAATAAAAGGCGAGTTCTAAAATATCTGCAGAAGTAAAAGAAGTGGAAAGATTGCTAAACCACCTGCACGGGATACAGTCGGTTCAAATTCAAATCTTCATGAATCATTAACTAAGAATCAGTTATTCAAGATTTGAACCCATAACTTCGGAGACATCGAACGAATTTATAAAATGTCGTTTTGACAATTGTTCATTTTTCAATGAATTTTACACTTCTATACAGGGTGTCCCACACCATACAAGATCGTTTATAGCTCTAAATTGAGATTAAAGCTGGGCTAATCAGTTAATCACCTAAAAAATGTTTAAGGCTCATTTAGTATTATGCGCGTATTTTGGCGTAAAGCTTGGAGATAATCCAACATGATATGGGGGAACAGTTATAAAAAGTTCCATATAATTATCAAATTAATAAAATAAATATCTGCAGCATTCCATTATCAATAGGTTAAGAAAATTTTATGAATCCTTTCGATGTCTCCAAAGCTCTAGGTTAAACTATTTAAAAGGTGGTATTGATCTTAGAAATCGTATCCATCGTATACATTGAGGTAAAAATAATACAGAGAAATTAATCATACTGATATTTGTACTAATTTTCTTCGGTACATTAATTTATAAATTATCATTTCTAACTTCCAAAAAAAGTAAAAATAGCACTAGTACCTCGAAATCGCTGGGAACCTTCTCCCCCCGCTGAAACTTCATCAAGGGTGCTTCGCAGTTGCTGTCCTCATCCTGTTATTCAGTAATTACATTTTACTTATGTCGAAACTTCTTTCATCTCTTAATATTTTTGCTAAATCTAAAGGATATGTCAATTGAGAATGTCTAAGGAAAAACTCGCGAAGTATTTTCTTGCAAGATCAATCCTACCTTTTTTTTACAACTTAATTTTACCAAAAAGATAGGTATGTGATCAAATTTTTGAAATAGTATTATTCGCTGAATTGTTGAAAATTTTAAAATGTTTGGATAAAAGGTATGAAAAAAGATAAAAAACCATGCCTTGTGATGTCCAATTCTTAATCCCTCCCCCCCCCGATCTTCAAAAATCATGTAATTCTTAAAAATATACAGTATACCCTATCTCATTAAAACATTGTTGAAAAGAAAGGAAAAAAAGTTACAAAATACAAAAGTCGAGACAAGAAAAGGACAAAGAACCATCGGGCCCCCATCTGGTCCATGACTAGCCAAAGTGCCCAAATGTACCCAAACAAGATGACCCATGAAACACTTTGAAAAAAGACTAAATAAGTGTTTGCTCCATAGTATTGTTAAAATTTAAAACATTTAAAATCATTTTAAAAACCATCACCTGATCATAATCCAAATCTCCGGATTTTCTCTTGTGTCCTCTAGGGACGTCTTCTGTAAAACTGTCCTCACTAGTGCTAGAGGACGGTCTCATCTCCACTTCGTCCTCGTCCTGAGGCTCATCGTCCTCCGGACCACTTCCCTAAAAAGTCCTCAATAAAATTTTCAATATTCCTGGTGATTTAAAAGAAAGCATGTCTAAAAATTGCAGTAACGTCATAGTGAAACGGACATTAGGAACAGATTCATTTCTAGATTTTCTTTAATAACCAAGAACAGTGTTACATAATAATGGGTATTGTTTTCGTTCACGAACGAAATATTTCAAAAAAAAGAGCAGCGACCGGACAAATTGGATTATTCAAAAATACTAAAAATATTTTTTTAAAACGACTTAAAAATAACCGAATGAAATGGGTCAGACAAACGATGAACAAACAAATTAAAAAAACCCGAACGAAATGGGTCAGACAAACGATGAACAAACAAATTAAAAATAACCGAACGAAATGGGTCACACAAACGATGAACAAACAAATTAAAAGAAAACCAAACGCGCCCATCTCTATAAAAATACCGTTTGCAGCTTGCTAATAGAAAGGTGACAATATCACCGCTAACATTTGAACAGTAGCGCTGCAAATAATTTACAACCGAAAGTCAACATCTGCCAACATTTGCAATAAAAAATACTGCAACAGACATTCAAAATCACCAAGAATTGACTAAAGGGGATGGTGGAGTTGGCACATTTGATGTAGGGGGGGGGGGGGCCC